AGTGGGTTTTCAAGAGACTGCTTACATTTTAATGTTTAGTGAGACCTGGATCTGTGGTAGATGGGTATAAAAAACAATGAGAAAGTGCCTTTCATGTTTCCAGCCTTGTGCAGTCATTTGTTTGTTGTCTTTTTTTAAAAACAATTTAGGGCAAGTGAGACTCATCTCATCTTTCTGTGTATTTAAAAAAAAAAAACGAAGAAAATCCAAATTAAATGAGCCGTAAACAAATACCAAGGGGAGGGAGGGAGGAGGAGGGAGGGAGGACTTTATTCTACACAACGACTAGTCCTCAACTGCTGCTCTTCTGCAGTCATGGTCATGGCTCTCCTGCAGAGCATCACCTCCCTCTCTGATTTTCAGACCTCATGTACGAGCTTAGGTAGCTACAGACAAGCTTTGGTGCTGCCCAGAGAATGTCAAAATGTGAGAGGTGGTGAAGTCCTGCAGGTCCCTCTCTGCCATGTATCTGGAGATGGGCTCTTGCTCTGAGTCAGGCAAGGTAGAGGGAAGGCAGGCTCATATCCCTTATTCCCACGGATGCCACCTTGACCCAGACGACTGAGGCTTGTGAGCTGACTCCCAGCACAAAGCTCTGTGACTGAAGTTTTTGCATTTGGGGCACTGAAGTATCACTTCTATCCTGTAGACCAAGTTCCCAGTAGCTGGCAAGAGCAAGAGTTTACATCACCCGTGACCAAACCAGAAATACAAGATTAGCTGCCAGTGTAATTTAAGATTCCCAAAGCAGCACAGAAGCAGATAAGGAAAGCAAATCAAACTGCCCTTGGAAAGATAAAGAAACTTTGCAGCTGACATAGGAAGAGCAGCTATTGAGGTACACAGGGATGTCCCAGCCTCAAGCTAAAAACTGGAAATATTTTGAAAGGTGACAGAAATTAAGAACCCATGCAAGCCTTGAGCTTAAAAACCCTGTGATGTTGAAAGAACTAAATCTGCCTTTCTGCTTCCCAGGACATATGGCCTCGGTAACAGATGATATATATCACTTCCTAGTTCAGTCTAGCTACACAGGTATCCAGTAAGGCTTGTCTGGTACCGCACAGAGGGTCTTTGCTTCATCCGCTGACTGTTCAGCTGCCTGCTACCCCGATTTATCACTTTGGAAACACTCCCACCCGAAGTCCCCACGTGCTAGATAGAGCCAGCTGGACTATTCTGTGATTCCAGACCAACTTTAGCTGTCATGCAGGGCCTGGACCAGGATGGGAGGTTGCACTGAATGTCTCAGATGAGCATCTCCACTCTTCCCTGGATGTCTCAGTCACCTTGTCCCATGGGGTCTCTTCTGTGACAAGATCCAGCACAGCCATTACATCCCATAAGCACCGCCAGTGTTATACACCCCAATGCAGTGTCCCAGGTCTCCAGACTCCAAACAAAACTCCATCTCTCCTGTACATCACAACCAAACAAATCTAAAAGAAATCATGACATCTTGGACACATCAAATGTCCAGCTGGAGCAGTACCACCCTAGTGACTTGATTCACTCCAGGCAGCTGTCTGGGAACCAATGCAACAGTTTCTCTTGTATCCTCCAACATAAAGCATTTCCACAAACTTCTAGGTGGTATTTGGAGAGGAGGACCCAATCCTGTCTCTTGTTTCTCTGCTCCCTCTGGTGGGTGCCAGCCCGGCATTATCAAAACACCTGCTTGGGTAGCGCCGCCAGGGAGCCACACACAGAAGCTAAAGCAGGCTGTAAAGTTATTACACAGCCTCCTTAAGAGCTCATTAATAGGCAGTGTTAATTCTTACCAATAGCACCACTGCTCATTACAGGACCTAGACGATTAAAAAGCAGATCTAGGAAGAGAGTTTCTGAGTTACAGACTTCAGTGTTGGCAACCGCTGACATCTCCAGCCAATATCCAGATCCCGCAGCCCTGACAAGGCCAAACACCCACCACCTAATACTCCTGGGCATCAGACCACAGCCATGGGCAACGATTGTACATACATGGATGCTGACCCATGCACAGCTATTCAAAAAGAACGTGATCACAGCTCCTATAACTGTGAACTTGGATATCTGTGCAAAGAAAGACAGTGAGTACATCAGATCTGTTGCATAAAGTGTGGGCCAAGAAGCTAATCACTTCTGTGTCTAATTATCTTTTTTCTTGTCATTCTTCATATTCCACTGTATTTTCAAATTCAGTTCAAATTGAGGCCTCCCTTGCCTTTCCTAGACAAATAGACTAAATGCCAGTGAGAATGGATCTTAAAATCTATATTTTAAGCACTGCAGTAGTATAACTAGTCAAGACAAAAATTACTTATAATTGCTGACTCAGCACAGTACTGCAAGCAAGAAGATACTGCAAACTCTTTCACTTCTCTCTTGAGAAATGTATTCAACCTTGTTTAGACCAATCTTGTGCTTGTTCTTGGTATCTTCAGAAAAGACATAGTGAAATAATTGTATAAGAAAACCAAGACCATCAGAACACTTTTTAATTAAGGAGAGATCAGGCACTATAGTCATTTGGGGTGTAGAGAGGGGGTTGGTTTAATTTGATTTTTGGTTTATATCTTAAGGATGAATTATTACTGCAGGAAAAGTATGACTGAAATAATCATATTCCTCCTTTTATGTTTAAAGGCATTACAAGCTCATATCTAGATGTTGAACAAAATCAAATATAGATCTCTTCCGAATTTTCCAAGTTGCAGAATAAGTACTGCACAGTAGAAAACAATATCTAATACAAGAGGTGGCAATGGGGATTTCATGCAGCTTATATATATTCACATTAAAAGATATGCAATCACAAGAAGTGTGACTCATTTGACACTGGAGAGAGATTTTCTTTTTAACTATGCATGAAAGGGGTAGTATTGCCATACACTGCTTTACCAGCAGTGAATCACAAGTAGTAAGGGAGTCGCTGCACTTTACAGTCTATAGCAGTCACGTTCAGAAATAAAAAGGCCTGGTTCTTGTCTGTAAAATCAGGTCATACACGCCCAACATTGCCCCCCTTCCCCACACCCACCCCGAGATTCAGCCACCAGATTCCTAATTAAGACATGCTGGACTGGACAACTTGTGAATCACATCTCACTCCTCAAAAGGCAACAGGGTAGCAAGATCTTCCCCTAGCGTCTACTCAATGATAAACAAGGAAAGCCCATGCTTGCCAGGCAATCACGGGTACTCGGACACACCACTCCAACTCTGTCAAGGAAGCACTTGAAGGTCACAACCCACAGAAGACCCTGACAAATCAAACATACGACCCAGCATAAAAAAGATGCTACTGTCTCCTCAGCCCAGGTTTGCACCCTAATATCAACATGATCCCAAACTGAATAAAAACACCACAGTGTTTGTATTTTCTCATGTCTTTAGACAGTAAATGCAATGTACTCACTTATCTTCCACTCTTCTGCATAGCTCCTAAACACGCACGGGGCTTCCTTTCTTTATAAAACCAGACAGTTACAGTTTACTCTGTAACAACAATTTGTTTGGATTTCCATTTATAAAAGCCCACCAAAATGCCACACGGTACAGTAATTTCTATACTGATGAAATACAAAGGTTCTGTAAAGTTTATAGAGCCATTTAAACTGCATTAGCTAAACTGTTTTGCCAAACTATATTTTCCAACTTATCTGTCCTTATTATGCTATATACAAGCTCACTTCTTCCAAGAGTCACCCTTACTCACATAATCAAATCATGACATTTGAAATGCAGTGACACTATTTTGTCATGTAAAATGGCTGAAATTAACTTGACGATGGCAGTGGAAGGATTGCTGCTACCCAGAATTTGTTATGAGAAGTGAAAGCTGGGAAAGAGTTAGATCTCTTGAAATCACAGATTTTAAATACCAGAGGCACAAAGTATTTAAAAGCCATTAAATACCATGGCTCATCATAAAAGGAGGATCCACGTTCTGAGACACTTGTCCCGAATCATTTCAATGGAAATATTAAAGAAGGAAAACTGATATGGAATTACAGGATTTATTTATATAGACTGACAAACTCACTTTATGGTAAAATGTTTTTTAAACATCAAGCAGTATAAATAAGATATCTGAAATTACTACCTAATATAATGACTTATATAAGTACCTTCAAAATAATGATTATATGAAGACTGAAATAAGTTTGACAGACTGAGATATAACCAAAATTGCTGTAGTCAAAGCAATTTGTCCAAAACAAAAACCACTTTATGCTTGCACACGTGTGTGTTGAATATAAAAGTAAAGCACAGTTTTTCAACAAGAGCAAAAAAAGTTTAAAAAAAAACACTTGGAAAAAAAAAAATCAATCCTGCCACTCCCTTCACTTTTGCTGGGCACACCAATTTTCACATTTTGGTCAAAGATCCGCTGCACACACATGGCTTCTCTATTTTACCTCATTTTGAGAAAACTGCAGAAAACATGCCTTCAAGAAACATCTGACAACTACATGTCCACATGATTAAATAAAAGATAGTAAAACCCTGCAATGGATACATTATGCACTTTACAACAGCAGCAATTGCTTGCTTGCAAGCCTCTGGCCAGAATCCTTCTCCTCAACAAAATAAATTAATGCTAGCCAGTTCTCAAGACATTACAATAACAGAAAAAGGCTTAGGTCTCCCTTGTATCAATAAAGAACATCATCTGACCTAAAGTGCACGTCTTCCATCACTAAACCACTTTCAAATGAAACAATACCAACCTTCAAAGACATCTTCATATAATGAGCTGTCTTTATCGACCATTTTGACTAGTTACCGTATTTATTATCTCTCTAGCACATAATCTTTGAAGAAGGCTAATGAGACCCAAGAAGTGAAAGGCGATTCCAGCCAGTATTATGTATGGACTTTTTTCACTCTTGTTCAGTACGAAGATACACAGCATTGCAGAATCTTTCAGTATCGACTTCTCCCACCAAACCCACACTGCAGACTTAAAAAGACACCCTCTCAGGATAAACAAAGCAAACTCATATTCATCAGACCTGAAAGATGTTTTCACCAGTGCCTCAGGACTGTCCACTGGTGGTAGTTCATCTGCTAAGATTTCTTCAGGAGGTCTAGGGTCACTGATGATGGTCGGCTTTGACCTTTCCTTGAGGTTGCCAGTCAGCCCACCAATAATGGTGTTCCACAAGCAGTTTTGTGATTTAGACCCTGCAAAAGCAGAGAGTGAGAAGCAAAAATAAATTCACAGGCCTATCTTCCAGTCTCTCAGCAGTCTGGAAAACAAAGATGGTCTGTTATCTTTTCACCTTTGCATCACCACACTTTGGGATTAAGCCTGAAAACCTGAAATAAAGCTCAAAATGGAAATAAGCACTAATGTTCAATTAATTCTGAATCCAAGACTGTAACAGATCATGAGGTTTTCATGTGTCAACAAAAAATATCCTCTCTTCATTTTACTTAGCTTATAGCTTAGCATCCATTGATGTGGCAGTATTTTAAGCCAAATAACCCAAACAAAAAACAAAGCATCAAATCAATACAATATTAATCACCGACTTTCTTAAAAGGACTGAAATACTGCTTAGTTCAGTTAAGAGACTTCCCACAACAGAGGTGCAGCAAGCATTATTCTTACTGGGTTCCAAAGTAATAAGACATACCAACTCTACTAGTAGTCATTTTCCATGGGCTTCTTATCAATTGGCAAAATGAAAAAAAAAAAAAGAAAAAAAAAAAAAATCTGATAAAAAGGATATTTCTGAAGTCAGCAACTGATTTTTATAAGAGACTGTACAGGTAAATTTTCAAATATTTTCCTGGCATTCAGACTTAATGGTCCAGCAGAGACAATTAAAAAGCAAATAGTTGACCTAACACATATGGAGAAAGGTTGACTTTTTGCTGCAGAACATACAAAGTACATTAAGAGGAAACCAAACAGAAGAGCTGTTATCCCATGTCTCTTCTGTGAATATATAATGAGAAACTACTGTTAGAAGCAGCAACATCTGCTGCTACGGACAGGTGATAGCAGCCTTATTTTGCTGGTTGTCTTAAATGTCATGTTTTCACACCTAAATGATGCAAAGACAGAAGAGCAGCAAGAATGCTCATTTGACTTCTCCATTCCAAAATAATTTTCAGAGCATTTCCCAGCTAATCAGGAAAGCTCCATACTCATAGGCTAGCCTGATCTCAATTGCCAGCAGCTATTTAATGTGCAAGGACGTTATTTACCTAGATTTAGAGGTAGCTTTGACGTCCTGTGCCAAGTTCTGTGCTACAATAACTAGAAAAATTACTCTTCACACCAGGTAGTCTAAAAGCAAGTAATGTCTACAAAACAGCTGCAGAAATAAATACATCAATACATCTTTATCATTCAAGGACTTGCCATGTTATGTCAATACCGCTGTTTCTGTTCACCCAAATTTCTCAAAATTTCTTAATCTTACTTGAATAGGTAAGCATTTCTTTTCCCTTTCTGTAAGGGGAAGTATAAAGAATGTAAAAGTTTTAAATGATCTGACTGTACAGGTCATCTGTGATGGAGCCAAAAATATTGTGATTCTCTATAATATGTTGAGAGGATTGCTTTTTTTTTTTTTTTTTTTTTTTTTTTTTTTTTTATGGCATACTCAGCACAGTTGAAGCCAGAATTTTACCAGTCAAAAAAGAAAAATAAATTGATACCCAGCTGCACATCTTGCACACTAAGACAGGAGAGCAGGACACTAATACTTGTAAAAAAAGCCACTGTGCCTTATTAAAATAATATTTTATGGAAAATAGGCTCTCTACAGCCACTTTTATAATTCTGAAGTTTTTTTCCTGCAATTACTCCAAGGAATCTGCTGAGCTTCCCAAAGCACCACCTTCTCCCTATTTTCTCAGCTCCACCCTTTCTTTTATTCCAGTTAGTGACAGGCTAACTAACTGCCACTAAAAACCATATAATCACTCAAATAATTTTTTTTTTCTTTAAACAAAAACAGCATAAGAAAACCAAGTACTTGTTTCAGCGTATATAGGGGTTTTTTTCCCTATGTTCTCTGCACATCTTTGGCTCTTCTGAAGATCAACAGCCACAAATCAACCAAGTGACATTAATTAACCAACTTCACGAGAACAATGGAATACCCACTTGTCCTAATCAGTGTTCAACCTTCCCACAGCTATGCTTAAGTGAAGGGAATTTGGCAAATGTTTTATTTAACTGGCCTGCCTGAACAGACATCAGCCAGGAGCTTCCAGCTGCCTGAAATGCCGAAAGCCTGATGAACTTAAATTCCCACAGCCACAACTGCTCAAAGACTGTTAGCGCAGTGTTGCTTATAGCAAGATGACCTAGTGAGATACCAGGTACATTAACTGCTGCTAAAGGGAGTAGTAACCACTTAAATACAGTCTCCTAAATGGACTGGAATTTGACATTTAAGAGTACAGGGGATTGGGTAGCCCTAGCATTGGAATGAGTAACAATTTTAATTTCAAATCCATGTGAATAAGTGTAAACATTTGCAAACATGCTTCTCCCTCCTTACTCTAGGTAAGTAAGGTCAGCCAAAATGGGTATGGCTTGTTAAGTGTTCTGTGATCCCACTGAAATTTCTGAAGGTTTTACAGTTGAACTCAAATGGGCAGCTGTTACAGAGCACTGGAAATGCTGTTCTCTGTTGTGAAGTTGGTAATTGCCTTTGAGTTAAGCTTTCGAGTGAATGTGAAAGGCACAGTCCAGGAAGATACCCAGTCTCTGGTTTGTGACTCAGACACAAGGGTAACGATGATAATCCTTTATGACTTCAGTTACTGCTTGGACCTTTATCCTCAAGTGCTGCAGCTTTTTCTGCCATTCAGTCAGAATGTTTTTGAATGCTTGATCTGTGCTCCACTGTTTGTTCAATGGAACATGGTGTGATAGAGTAGGTTATATTACTCTGCATAAATTCTGGGCATCACTCATTTAACTCACGTTAGCAGAGCATATGCCTCAGACATTTCCCTCCTTTCCATAACACAGTTCCCATTCTAATTTTTCTTACCATTCCCACAGAGTTGTCACCTTATTAATGATACCCTACAAGAAGCTAGGTGGATCATTAAATCCTCAACCTGACTCCCAGACCACTAAATTTAACTCCTAAAAGTGAAGGTCTGCTTTACACTTCGAATTATTTCCCTTCATCTCTACACCATGCCTCTGTGGCTATTTCCCAACCAGGCTTATCTAAGTGTTCCTCTCAGCATCTCATTTCTTTTACGGTCAAATAGCCTGCAGCCTTGATCTCACCTCCCCACTTAATCCCATGCAGCACTGGGCCTCGATGAGCCCTTGTAAAGGGGTATCCTGTGCTTTCATTCGGCTGATAGCCATCCACCAGCCTGTTCTCCTCCATGAAATGCCAGTCACCCCTACCTCTGCAAATAAGGCTTGGCTGCCTGGCTGAGAGACAAGATTAAAGCAGGAACAGATCCTGGTTGTCCCCGTGTCTCAGACCTGCACCCTGTGCACATTCACCAAAAATCAAGTTCTTACGAATGTCAGAATCAGAACTGAAATGCCAGCTCAGTTCCAAATGTCATGACATTATGCTTGACCTACTTGTCAGGCAATATTGCAGCATGAAGCCCTCGTAACCCAAATATACAGGAATAAAACATACTTGGGGTAAATCTTCTGACTCTGTACCTAGCATCTAGGAACTTCCATGGATAAAAAGTGGAATGATAAAGAACTCGAAAATGTTTGCATTTATATTTCTCTCTTCTGTGATTTCCTTTGCCATATGCATTTTCAGGGTTGAACTAGCCAGGACTGACGAATAGAGCCCCCTTTTAAGCTTTACTGTCTACAACATGAAGGAAAATAAATACTAAATCAGGAATAAGGAATATCAGTACAATTTTCTCTCAGTCCTGTTCAATCTGCTCCATCACCTTGTAAGTCACTACATGCAACAGATTTCATAGCCACAGATGTTCCTTCTACATTACGCACCTTAGCTACCTATGTGAGGTTTGGCATGCTCAGAGTGCCACCCTGTGACTGTGTGAAATACTGCACCATAATTGTAAAGTATTTTGATGTTTTGATCCGCACCACCCACGATGATGGCAAATGACCCCCTTCTAATGATGAGAAGGGGATTTTTTCCCTGCTAAGCTATGACAAATCAACATGAAACTGCATTATGAACAGAATTTCCTATCTTCCTCCTCATTCCTATATATTTTGTCACATGAGTTTTAATAATTTACACAGTCAAAGTCATGGTCAGTTGGTGCTACATTACCAGGTGCTACATTACCAGCACCTTTATTTTGTTCAAACTTGGGTCATTTATTTCAAATCCTAAGCCATACCTTCAGCCAACCTTGCTGTGTGAAGGTGATGGAGGAGCTATCACTAAGGTTTAATTACATTTTTCGTACGCTATTTCTGAGGCTTGACTCAAACCTCTTTGTAGCCAACTTCAGCTGGCTTTGTGACACATACTGTTATAACCTTTTGTGCCTGAAGCAACAGTAAGGCAACAAAGCCTTCCATTCTTTTAAATTTGCACCAACTCTGTTCAGTAAGACTGAACTTCTGTAAGTGACTTTTCCAACTAAGTACTATGGTTCCTCAGTTTAGTACTGTAAATTAATGGTAATAACAGGTCAGACATCATATGAGCTTAAAAGACTTATTAAATGCGTTTATTTCTACAGTAGATATAGAAATCAACCAGTTAAAATTAAAAAAAGACTACTTACGGGCAAATCGTGAAAGTGGTCGCGCATTTTTGTCACCTGTCTCGTTTGCAACTGAAAGGAGAAAATAGAAATAAAAAGCATTCAAATTTTACATTAAGATTAATTATAATAGCAATTCTCATGCATATAAGGGAGAGAAGACTGGTCACAGTAACAGCAGCTGGCTATATACTCATAGATATATAATACTTAATGCAACCAAATATATTACTTTGCATGTTTGCCTGTCTGTCTGGTTCACTTTGGCTTTCAGAGTCAGGAGGTCACACCACAAGGCACCTGTCTCAACCCACATAATAACGGAATCATATAACTGCCCAACATTCAAGCACTAGCCATTAATAGTACCTAGCAACATATGATAGCAGTCATCCTTACACATTCTATTTTATATTGTACGTTTTTTCCAAGTCTTAAATAAAAAATGTCATTTTTCCTGTTTGCATTAATGACTACAATAAGGAAAAAGTAAGATTATTCCATCTATATAAAGAAATGCACCTAGCGATGTCAGAAGCCCAGAGGATCATTGAAAAGCAAATTAAATGAAAATCAAGGATCTGTGCAAACTGATCCTCTGACATTTGGAACAGCATATAGATATCAGCTAGGATAAAAACAACCCTGTACAAATCCTGACTTTTTCTGCCTCTGATTCAGACCGGCATAGCTCTCAACATTTCTGTGATCCGGGCAGCATACTGTTAGTCAAGAGCATAAATGACTCTTCAGGGTTCTTGCAATATTAAACTACAGCTGAAAAATAGGAGAGTTATCAAGGAGAGGAATTGCCACCTGTTACTTTTTATTTTGTGTAGCTCCAATCATCATGAGGAACAGCATTGATGACACACAGGGAGGAGAGCATAAGTGTGCGCAGAAACCCTGCCAACTCTTTTATTTCTTTAAAAATGCTGTTTTCTCGAGACAAAACTAACCAAAGGAATACCTCAAGAGGATGCAAAATATGACCAGAACTGAGACTCACGGGTTCCTAGCAATAATGTCAATTGAACTACAATGGACTTTTTGAAGCCAGAAGATACTTTTGATGAAATTTAATTCTCCTGACAAGGCCTATATTCAGTGTCACTCCAGATTTCCTTACTTGCTCTCCAACCTTTACCTGTTGACTAAAGTGGCTACAGCACCTAGTGTAGTAGTGAACAGAGGGACTCTTAAATCGCTGGCTCATTTTGCTCCCATTAGCCAGTAGATGGTGCGGTTAAAACACTGGTGCCTCTCTACTAGTCTGAGGAACTCGCCAGGCTGGCCAGAGCGGTCTCCCAGGTCCATCCAGACACCCTTCCTTGTCCTAAGTCCATCACAGGTACCTGCAGTACAAACCCCAACCAAATCAGCCCTCCTGATACACTGCGTGCGGACACACCAGAGTGGCTGCACAGTTAGGCGGGTCCAGAGCAGTTCATAGTTTCAGAGTCAAATCTGGCTCTGCTCGAGGTGATAGCATGGTGAAGGAGCGGCAGCAGCATCCTCCATGGGGCAGGGATCAACAGAGTTGTACCCAGCATGATCAAAAACCGTGCCAGAAAACACTGCTGTAGCCAACATGTAAGGGTCAAGCGGCCAGGCTTTGCCTTTAAGTCAGTGATGACAGCTTGCAAGGGGTAGGCTGAGAGACTGCCTGCCGTGATGGTCTCTTCTGGGGTCCTAAGTATCCTTCCTTATTGCAGCAGAGCCCAGGCAAAGATGTCTAAGTTGGAACATCAAGTAAACTATGAGGTCAATGAGGAAAGAGCTTATGAGGGTCTCTTCACTGCACTGTTACCTGCTTTAGAGTTATTTCCCCATTCTGGTGGTAGATGGCACTCCCTGGTCATGAGGGGCTTCAGGTACACACCGGGTCTCACCTTTGTGCCACACTCCAGCTGGATGTTGCAACAGGAGTTTTGGAGCACTCCATCCAGTATCTGCGTTTGGGCTGCTCAGCTCCCAGACTCACAGCACCCAACACAACAGGTGTCGTGAGTCCCTTCCTAAATAAGCATTTTCCTATTCTAGGCTGCACAGCTTTGTTTTCGGTTGTCAGTGTTTTCAAACATCAGCTGGTGTCATACACAGAGTAATGCCCTTCCACCTGGCATACAGTCACAGAGAGCAAAGGTGCAGGCTGAACAGCTCAGCAATAAGCAGGACAGAAAGCACCGGGGATGCTGAACCTGCATTACTAGCAAGATTCCTGGGAGAAACTAGTGAGCTAACCGCTGCCTGGGAATTGTCTGGGACCCATGAGGTGTGTGTGTAGGTCAGATCTCAGGTTTGTTTAACCCTGTAATCAAAAGGGAAAGAACTCAAAGGCAAAAAGCATTTCTGCATTTGCTCTGTGTGAAAATCAGGTTTTACTTGATGCAGTTTTTACTGTGGAACTCCTGCATGTATATCCTACAGTTGTCTTACAGGAGTCTTTGGACACAAAGAACTAACAGACCGATGTAAATGAGAAAAGACTTTTTCTCCAGATGGTCTGAAATCTTCTCCACCCTATATTTATTCAAGTTTATTCATAGTAATAAGCTTTTCGGAGAAAGCAGGTATGAATTAATGAAGCCAGAGAAAGAAGCTTAATCTCTGAGAGAGCAAAGCACAACTCACACCAAAAATGATTTCTGGTATTTCCAATAATCTCCTGTACCACTGTCTCTTCAGATAAGATAGTTTTCCAGCCACACTCTATCCTTATACACTGAAATCTAGGCTGATTTTAATCTCTGATTAGGTGAGACTATTGGCATGAAAACTGCAGATATTGACTTCATTCCCCTGAGTGGGTGGGACCTTCTTCAGCTTCCATCCCACCATTTTAAAATTATTTTCATGACACTAAACCACGCACATTAGAAGTTATTTTCCATTCTAACCTGGAAGCACATAAATCATGCTGAAGGGTACAGCAACACACAGGTAGCTTGTAAGTAACTTCTGTTCCTTCAGAGAGGCAGCCGTGCAGGAGACATCATCCTGTAATCACCCCGCTAGAGCGAAACATTCCTGCACTGTGCTCTCTTGTCCAAGTAAACAACAAAATAAAATATCAGGCCTAGACAAATTTCTTCCATCTTGAAGTATTATGTTGCATCATAACTGCCTGGAAGTCTCAAGACCCTCTCACTGCAGTTATAACAGTATCTTCACAGGCATGGTCAATTCTTTGACTAACAGGGATCACTCACATATGTGAGTTCACTGCTTGCCCCCTTCATAGGCAAGCTTCATTTTTTAACATCTGCCCTGTTAAACTGTTTATTTCCTACAGCTTGCCACCTTTTTCCACAAAAGGTATCGATTTTACCCAGTACGCCCCCTCAGCCAATTTAGCTTTCAAAGATCCTTTGTCAGACTTCTAGTACAATGCAAAGAAAAACATACCACTCTGTAGTATTGACTCATCAAGACTGACAGACAATAGCGCATCACCTATATTTTGCTATTAAGCAGCCAAGAGGCTGAAAAAAGAAAATCAGGTAATTTTTTACCCACCAGTAAACACATTCTTTCAAGGAGAATTGTTTTAATCAGCCAAAGGGCTCAACTATATATATATATATATATATATATATATATACACATAAGAGCTTAACTATATATTTCACACTGCTAGTAAATTGGTCAGTATTTGGAAGTAGTAAATTACATTAGAGAAGCTGAGAACACAGATATGTAGATAAATTTATATTGAATATACAAGCTGAATAAGCTCTTCTCTAGAATTTTTTTTTTTTTTGCTTTTGCTTCTTTTCCCCTTCAATGCCACATACTTTAAACAGCATTCCTGTAAAAAAAAAACAAAACAAAAAACCCAACCTTTGGCTTCCCGTAACATATTATCTCCTGGTAAACTTTTCCTTTTAAAACTCAGAAGAATAAAAGACAGTACTGCGATTGCTGAGACAACTGTGTCTACTTTTTAAAGGCAAACGAAAGTAAGATCATCTCTGGAAACTCCAGTAATTTTCGTTCTCAAAGACTATAATGCCATTAGATAGTTCATAAACTTATCAAACTCAATCTTAGAAGTTGCTTGGTTTTTACGTTTACCCATCTTACACGATGAGACTTTGCCAGAATCTGATTGCAGTGTCAGTTATGACCTATCATTTAATTTGTGTCAACTTACATTGATTTGTTCTTGTACCAGCAATCTCTTTAAGCTGAAGTATTTCTTTTTTTCCTGGTGCTTAATCCTCCTCTGACTCGGGCAAGGAAGGACTGAATTTCTCCCTTCCGCCATCATTTTGTGCACTAAACACAAGATCATCTAGTTCTGCCTTACAGAATAGGTATCTTCATATCCCCTTCCCATCTTTATTGAACCTCTTCAGTGTCAATTCATTTTCTCGCAGGTGAACTAAGAGATCTTACTCTTGCCTGGTCACACATTAGTTGTGTGCTGTGGCACCCCCCTCATACAATTATCAGACTCTCAGATTGTGGCAAAAGTTTTTGTTGTTAAGTCCTCATCTGAGTGATCTTTCACTCTGTACTACTTAATTTCAGACTTTATTGGTAGCCCCATCCTCTAGGTCACACAGATCTTGCTGTGCGATACTCAGATCCTCCCCTGTGCTGGCAAGGTTTTGTGTCCTCAGCAACAATTATCCTTTTTTTTCTGTGTCACAGTCATTAACAAAATTCCTACACAAGATCTGAAGCACAACAATACCAAAGAAAGGCTTTCCTGGTGGCTTTCTGACCCATTTAGAAGCTAAGGTTCCTCATAAGAAAACCTATTCTTGGGGGATTTTGAGTCCAATAAGGAGATCAGAAAAGTCTCAGACCAAACAAATAATGCCTCATAATGAGGCAAATTCTACTTCTGAAAGTTTTTATCCAGCACTACATAAATTGCAAGCACAGGAACCATGCAGCTAGTGTGCACATTACTAAACCAGAGATTATTCAGGCCCCTCCAGAGTCAGTCACCCAAAGTTTTCTAGAGTGTTGAATCCCAGTACCACGCAGGAAACGCCACCAAATGCTCGTGCTGTAAACATCAACAGCACAGGCAGTATAAACACACCCTATGCAGGGCC